CTCCTTTTGAGGCTTTGTATGGCCGCAAATGCAGATCGCCTCTCTGCTGGGCTGAGGTAGGAGACACTCAGCTGGCAAGAAGGCAAGCACCAAACAACAGTCTTACAGGACCCGATATCATTCGGGAAACTATGGAGAAAATAGTTCAAATCAAGGCACGACTCCAAGCATCGCGAGACCGGCAAAAAAGCTATGCAGATAAACGGCGAAAGCCTCTGGAATTTCAAGTCCGAGATCGGGTGCTCTTAAAGGTCTCCCCATGGAAAGGGATGAACCATTTTGGGAAGCGAGGAAAACTAAACTCGCGATACATCGGGCCATTCGAGATTCTTGCCCGGATTGGTCCGGTGGCTTATAAGTTGCAGCTACTTGCGGAGCTCAGCAACGTACACCCCGTGTTCCACGTGTCGAATATGAAAAAGTGCTTATCAGATGAAACCCTCGTCTTTCCTCTGGATGAGATCTAAGTAAACGAGAATCTCCTGTTCGTTGAAGAGGCAGTTGAAATAATGGACAGGGAGGTGAAGCGTACGAAACAAAGCCGCATTCCGATTGTGAAGGTTCGATGGAACGCTAAGCGCGGACCAGAATTTACATGGGAGCGCGAAGACCAAACAAAAGTACCCTCACATTTTCTCTAATTCCCAAGAATAACTTTCAAAAGAATTTCGGGACGAAATTCCCTCTAACGGGGGGATGATGTCACAACTAATAGTTTGGCTAGGAAATTCTGTCTATATGTAATCAATTCTTGATGTATCTTGTAACTTCAAGTTTAAAGATATACATGTTATTCATTTCAAAAACAACTATTCAAATCAAAACTCACCCGTGAAGCCCAAAACCTAATTTCCCGGTTCAAACAATTATTGGGCCACGAATCATTTATTGGGCCTAATGGGCCAATAAACTCTCAATTGAATTATTTTGGGCTAAGAATCCTCATATGGGGCCTAAATGGACCCGCATTCATTAAACCATAACATTTTGGGCTATAAGACTTTTTATGGGCCTTATTGGACCTAAAATGTCTCACCTTGCTTTCATGGGACTTATTGGGTCGTGAACAATTTCCTTGAACCTCAATGGGCCGAAAACCCATTGTTTTTGTCATGTTGGGACGTAAACACCTATGTGAGCCCACATGGATCAAAACTCCCTAATGGGCCAAAGCAAGAACAAGCCCAAAACACTCTCTCTTTCTTTCCCTCTCATTCTCGACCCTATACAAAAAAAAGATGGGATAATGTCATGCAGAAACCTCATGTTTACATGGTGAATATCCATGCAATACACAACATATAACAAAGAAATATCATACTTCTATGCAATGTCTTCTCACCCCCTCCCTCCTCTCCTTATTCTCGGCTCCCTCTCCATCCCCAACTCTCCATTCCAAACTTCACACACACAAAAATTCTCTCTAAGCTCTCAAGTAATTCTACCATTCTCCTTCTAAAATTCGTGTGAGCTTGTGTGAGATCAAGAACTCTTCCTTAAAGATCATCATTCTTGGTAAGCTACTTTCTAATCAAGGTGCTCAACTTCATTTTATGTTAAGTCTTTCACTCATAAACACTCTATTTCATGATCCATGCTTCTTAGAACCCCATAAGTTCGAAATCTACTCAAAGGAGCTTGCTAGGGCCGAAATCTCCTTCAATCTTCTCACTAAAACCGATCCATCATCCCAAAGTGAGTTCATACCCCCTATTTTCGATTTTTACTATGTTTTGGGTGAGGATACAAGTTGCTTTGTGTTAGATCTATGTGTTTATGCATGGTTATGTGTGTTTTCCATGTTATATGTTGTGAATATGTGCTAAAACTTCATAAATCTCGAAAACTCTACCAAAACTTGGTGATGTTTGTATACTAACACACATTATACAACTTATTATGAAGTGAAAGGAGTAAACATGTTGTGGAACACTAGAAAACTAAACAAAACCGTTTAAGGGGCCATTTTTGACAAATAAACAAAAAGGTGAAGCCTTTAGGGAATTCACGGTTTGTCAAGGATTAAAAGAGTCATTTTTATATAAAATGGGTCTTAAAGATATTCATGGTTTTAAAAAGGGCCAAAAGTGTTAATTTTCACAAAATGCGCCTAAAGATGGGTCTTCACGGTTTCATGGGCTAAATTTGTAAATTTTTGACTTTTGTGGGTTAAATTTTCATTTTAAACAAATTTGAGCCAATAATGTGAATTTCGGATAAAAAGAGCTGAAAATGTCAAAATTTTTAAACTTGGGCCGAAAAGGTAAATTTCTATACATTTGGGCCGCAAATATCAATTTTCATCAAAAATTGGGCCAAAATGTAAATTTTAACGAAAGTGGGCTAAAAATGTTATTGTGTTTAAAATAAGCCCTTAAATGTGAACTTTTGGTCTTAAGGGACCTAAAGTGTCATTTTTACCAAAAATGTGCCTAAATTGTAAATTTTCGGCTTAATGGGCCAAAAATGTCATCTTTACAAAAAGTGGGCCTTTTATGTCATTTTGGTAAACAATTGAGCTAAAACAAACAACATAATAACAAACGGACTAAATACGTCATTCACATGTTTATTGGGCCTTAGTGGTCCATTTACATGCTTATTTGGCCTGGAATATACTTTACATGTTTATTGGGCCTTTGTGGTCTATTTACATGCTTAATGGGCCTGAAATATACATTACATGTTTATTGGGCCCTTGTAGTTCATTTACATGCTTGTTGGGCCTGGAATATACATTACATGTTTATTGGGCATTTGTAGTCCATTTACATGCTTATTGGGCCTGAAATATACACTACATGTTTATTTGGGCATTTGTGGTCCATTTACATACTCGTTGGGCCTTGTAACCTTAAAACATACTCAAAAACATTATTTACTACATTAAACAGTGTGATACAATATTCGCGTAAACATAGTTAAGGTTCTTGTGAGACACGTTCTTTCATTCGTACCTATCAAGTGTACAACCTTTAGTCATGTAGTTATAACCAGAGTCTCCTGGAGGGAGAGCGAGAGTTTGTGTATAGATCTATACGGGGTTGACAGCCCCGCACCTAAGCTGTTCGTTACAGCTAGACTAGGTCAGTCTAGGGTGACAAATGTCTTACCTTAAACAAGTCGACGCTTGAAAAACGTCATGATAGGCAATTCCGTCATATCAAGCATGGTTATAACGACTCACATAGAAATTAACTTCACTGTAAAATTTACGAAATACATAAACAATTATACAGTTGCGATACTATACAAACACCATTCTACGGTGTTTGGGTTTTAAGACCACAATACTTTTACAGACAGAAAATATCGGATTTTCTGGGAAAACTTACAATTACACATTACCTTCTACTTACAACAGAAAACATGAGAATTCTGGAATGCACTCTTAATACATTTTCAAAACGGAAACACACATGCTTTAATACCAGATTTGATACAAAGCGTTCAAACCATTTATTTCTTTTTACAGAAAATATCGGATTTTCTGGTGTTTACAACATGATACAAACTTTTCATACAAATATGCTTATGAACTCACCAACATTATATATGTTGACCATTTTCAAAATAACTTGTATTCTCAGGAAATCGTTAAGCAGGTTGGCCTTCAAGAACTCATGGATTTTGATGTATTTTGTTATTATCATAAACCTTATATTTTTGGGATGTAACTTTTGTAAACAATTACAATGATGTAAACCCAATATTGTTGTACTGTTGTACGCGTGATGATGATGCTTGCATTGTTTCAATTATATTCACTGTGATGATATTACAACATGAAGTCACCCTAACCCCCAGACGTTTTCGCCGTTTTCTTCGGTTCGGGGGTGTGACACAGTGTAGCTTGCATAGACACTTAATCAGAAATTTTAGTCTTTGTTTATTTTCCATGTAACTTCTCGAGACTCTATAAATAGAGCTCTCTTCTTCTGAATGAAAACACCTCTCGATTACATCTCTATTCTCTCTATCTGAATTACTCTCTATATTCTCTCTTACCTTCAAAGATCTTTATGAACTTACACTCATATATACAGATCGAACTCTCAAACTCTCCTTCGGAGCAAGTCATTGTGACTTCATTCACTTTAAGTTGATCACGTATACTAACTAGGTTTGAATGCAAACCTTGTCACTACTAGAAAAACAGCATTTTACGACGCGTAATGCGTGTTGTAAAAGGCTCAGACGACGCGCAAATGCGTGTCAAGGAAGGCTTTGTCATAACGAGAGACGACACGATTTTGCGTGTCGTCTATTTACGACGCGCATTTACGATGCGCATTTACGACGCGCAGTTATGACACGCAATGCGTATCAAGGAAGGCCCTGTCATAAAGGAAGACGACACGCACTTGCGTGTCGTAACCTTACGACGCGCGTGTTTATGACACGCAATGCATATCAAGGAAGCCCTTATCATAAATGAAGATGACACGCATTTGCGTGTCATAAACTTCAGTAACCATTTACGATATGCATTTACGACGCGTCTTTACGATATTCATTTACGCATAATACAAAAATATGTAAACAAATATATATCTAAACAATCAATTTCATCCAATAACATCATGTCAAAAAATTGTAATACATTGATATTAAAGGGATCTAATTCTACATTGTTATTAAGAGGTTTTCCCTAACTATATTATATAACCTAATACTACATTGCGTATCAAGGGACACCTTCTGCAAAGTAATGCTATACAAACTAAAAAGATATACACAAAGATGATAAACATCAAATTCCAACTAAGTAGAGTTGCATCTTGCCTTTCATAATTCTTTAAGACTAATGAATCCCTGCTCCGATCTTGTGACCTGATCAAATAAAAGTCAAAAAATTAATATGCTAATATAATTAATAGAAGAATCAATCAAGGAATATTAGTTGCAAATACTTGTGCCAAATGTGAGTGGTCAAATGATGGAAAAGTGAACATCTGCAAGCTTTTTGACACTAGCCTACATACAAGCACATATACATATCAAACAAGGATGTAAAAATCACCCGATGTAAAAATCCCAACATTTTTTAATGCAATAATAACCTTTTTCTGCAATAAATAATAGTATCAATTAGCCAACAAGATAACCAAAAAATTAATAATTACCAAATTTATGATTATTCTTGACTGGTATTTAAATGAGACCCACAATATAAATAAAGATATAAATTATAATACCTCACTTTCATCATCTAAGACTGTTTCCATGAGATAAAGGTCACCTAATTTTGTTATCTCCAAAAGAACATCCAAAACAGATGATCTCACAGTTGTTTGATTCTGTTTAAAAAAAATTAGTGAACAATTAAATGATTAAAGTATTGTTATAACTTATAATATATATATATATATATATATATATATATATATATATATATATATATATATATATATTTCAGTGGCTAAATTGATAAAATGGGGTGAATATTTTAACCAATACCTGAACCTCCTTTATCAGTAAATACCAAAAAGACCAAAATACCCCTTCAATCATATAAGTAATAAACTTTGATTGATTGATATGATGTATGTATCATATGTTTAAGGTGTACATACTGTCTTGCAATAATAATAATAATAATAATAATAATAATAATAATAATATGAAAATGATAATCTTTTTATTTTCAGTGATGTTTCACAACTCTCAAAAACTTTCCCATCTGTTGATATGGTTTTTGATTATCTAACTTTATGCGCATATGTGTTGATTGTAGAGTTTGTGATCTCCTACATGAACAAGTAAATAAAGGTGTAAGATCTATGTTCCTTAAAGTTTCTAAATCATACTGAACTAATCACTGATAAAGACTTTATGATTTACCTGAAGATATGTAGTACCAGAAAATATGAAATTGACATGCTCATAGGTAAATCCTTCGAGAAAATCCATGAAGCTTTCACTCGATTGATACTGTATTCCTGTACTTATTCATGGATCTTCAGTTTGCAGGAGGCAGTTCATTTGTTTACCCCACTTTATTAGAAAGAAACGCTTCTTAAATAACAAGACATTAGCATAAATTTCTCATATTCATTTCATCGGGTTAGCATATCAAGCATTCAAGCTAAACTCGAAGCAGATCCTACAAAAGAAACAATAATTTTCAAGAAAAACAGGGATTTAAAATCTAAAGGTATGAATCAGGGTCAATGATATCACATACATTGTATTGGGAACAGAAATACGATGATCAAGCAGTGTGAATCGAATATCGCCTGAAACACTCCGTCTTCTTGATTGCCAAAGATCTATAGCTTTTTCCTGGAATCGATAATCGTAACAAAACATGTTATGACTTATGATCGCTGAAACAGAGCTTGATTCCATATAAATAAAGCTAAGTTGATAACTAATAAACCCTCGTTTGGTGACATTCCGTCTTGCGTCCATGATTTAGGGCTTTCTTTCACCTCATGATCCGCCGAACCACCGACAACTTCCCTGCTCTCTCTCATCTCCCCCTTGCTGCTCACCTGCGTACGCTCGGCCTATCTTCTCTTCTCTTCGCCGGACCGGTCACGGCTCACCTCCTCCGCCCGGAGACCTTTGTGAACCACACCACCACCTCCGTCCACTCTCTCTCTGCCGTTCGCATATCTTTATAATTGTACGCGAGTGATGGGCCTATATACACGTGAAGACACTGGTAAGGGATGGATTGACGCATCCTGCCCTAAGTCGGACTCACTTGGATGGATTAACAATTGGGGCATAATAACGAGAAACCTTCATCGCCGGCGACGTGGGTGATGGAAGAGAGATTGTAGATGGAAGAGAAAGTGGAGATGGAAGTGAACGAGAGATGGAGACGGAACCAGACCTAAATCGCCATGGCGGGTTTTCAACTTTTCTAATTTTTGGGGAATTCTTTTTCCTGCTACTAAAGATGAAGATGTGCGCGTTTCATTAAAAAAAAATATAAAACGACATGATTTCACAGACACTCTTTTTATGAAAGGTGTCTCCGTGTTTTTTTTGTAACACTAATTTTAGGGCACATGTCCCCTTCGAGCACCCAACACCTTCTCATATGTCCCCTTCGAGCACCCAACACCTTCTCATATATGCCTATCCAATCAATAGAGTTTGGATCACCACTAGAGGAGGTTATGTGATGCGTTTTGTAAAGCAATCTCACCAACTAAAGCATTCTATATTTCACAAAGATTATCAATATACTTGAAAAGTAACACAAAAAAAAAACAATTTACTTCACTTTTAAGTAATAAAAACTTACATATTTCTCTTCGACTAATGGGTAAACGCATTCCCCTTGTTTATTGACATGCACTGGGTGAAATGCTTCGCGTCTATTCAAAATTTGTTTAACATTACAAAATATGTTATACTTGAATAAACATTACAAAATATGTTATAACTAAATAAAAATTACCATAACTTACTTTCTTGAAACAAGCACTACCGTAGCTGCACGTCCCTCCATGATTCTTAATTACATGCTTATTCCAACATTCTGTGTTTTCATTGGATTGTTTTTTATGTTTATCTATTAAGAAGTGGTCAATTGTAGTATTCCAATGTTGCGCATCCATATCGATGAGGGGTCGATCCCTTGCTCCCTCCACATCTTGATACCATTGCGAACTATTAAAACGAGTTTTTGCAACATTTTTGCGGCCTCTATACTGCGCACATATTCGATTCTTCAGTGATGACCATAAGATTGGAGCTTAGGGATCATTTGCGATCTCTTGAAAATCAAACCATGTCTACAAAAAAATAGGGAAGTTAAAAATAAATCAAAATTAAACATAGTAAATATAACTTTAGAAATAATTTACCAAAAGAAACTAGAATATGCCATTCCTTTCGGCTTCAAAAACTTCTTTCCGAGTGTTCTTATCTAAAGGGACGCCACATCACATATAATTCCCAACCTATCGAATGAAACAATTGTATACGTCCCTAACCGGCATGTATGCATTCCTATCAAATACTATCTTTACAGGCCGCCGACTGTTTGCCTCGTATAACTTGTGCCTTTTTGGTTTTGTGTTATACGTCTTCGTTTTGGAGGTACAACTACATAAAAAATATTAGTCACAATTTTTTTTTATATACATACAATATGAAATATAGTTAATTAAAATAAATATTAATTACCATCGATCTGGTGAGAACCAAAACTTCTACCGAATTAATGTGGTGGCTCCTCACCACCGTCACCTCCATGGCCCATCACAATAGCCATAAGATAGAGCAATCCAATCAAAAAAATGACATCCAGAAAAATTATAACACAATATATATATATATATATATATATATATATATATATATATATATATATATATATATATATATATATATATGTTGGATAAGGTGTCTAAGTCCATAACTATTTCTGGTATGTACTTGACCCGACCCCGCATGGTCCATTTGGGTTGCATGACATCATGCATTTGGATAGACTAAATGAGAGAAATAACACTTGTGGTTTATTAATATATTATAAGTTCTAATATATTAATAATATTATTTAATTAGTATTGATCAAGAATTAATCTAGAATTAATTAAGTGATCAAAAGGAGACTAATTAAATATATGGGTTGATTGTGTAAATCATTCATACTTGTATAGTGGGCTAGATGCTCCATGGATTATCTAGTTGGACTAAGGTCTATAGGATGCTCCATGGATGCTCCATGGGAGTTACAAACCCATGGGTCATGGAAATGAAGAGCCATTTTACATTAGGGTTTGCATGGTGTAACCCTAATGCAACATACTATATAAGCATACTTAGAGCAACCAAAATCGGCTACACTAGTGAGACAAGAGGGCAAGCCGAATTAGAAGTGTTCTACATTCTCTCAAAGTTTATTCCAAGAGCATTTGGTGTTGTGTTAAACATTTGAGGCATCACACTTGGGGTGCTAGGTTCTCAAGGTTTTCAAGGAATCAATTCAACAACAAGGTATGTAATTCTAGCAATCTTTTATGTTTAAAGTTCCCCATGTATGCTAGATAGGATTATGAACCTTGGAAAAAGTATTTTGCATGTATTTTTAGACAAACATAGATCGAAGGTTTTCTAGGGTTGCATGTACACTTTGGAGTGTTAGAATGCTCAAAACCCATCAGTGGTATCAGAGCCTAGGCTTGTTTGTTTGATACTTGATGCCAAATTGTGAAAAAACTCGTTTTTTTATGCATTCTGCAGCATGAACTCGCCGAGTCCATGGGGGGACTCGACGAGTCCATGACCAAACTCATCCTACTCGTCGAGTATGTTCTTGCACTCGACAAGTAGGAGCCCCTGAGTGCAGTTTTTCGAGTTTTGCTGCTGGAAATGGACTAGAAACATTACCCTAAACTGTTTTGGTGTTTTAAAACTTGTTTTAGATGGTGTAATGGTTGTTCAAATCCATTTTCAATGGCTAATATCAAAATTACATGATTATATGTGTTCATATGTTCTTGAAATTTTGATATGTTGATTCATGTTCTTATGAGTTCTTGATATATCATAGAAATTACTTGTTTAATGCTTAATTCATGATCTTTATGTGTTTTAGTGGAGTCCATAACTTGTCCTCAAGCTATGGATAACCAAAAGTCACTTTGTATTAATTCCATTAAAAGAACACATAAGTTACAAAAATGAAGAGCCTTCATTTTAATAACTCATAAGTTATGAATTGAAAGGTTTTGTAAAGTTACAAAACTTGCCCTCAAGTTTTGGAACATGTAAAGTCATCCAACAAACTTTAGTTCCAACCCCTAGAATTTTAAAAGTTAAAATTCAACCTTTATACTCTATATTATTATAAGTTTAATAATATATATATATATATATATATATATATATATATATATATATATATATATATATATATATATATATGTATAAGATCAAGTCGTTTTACCATTAGTAGGCCTCATTCACGAAGTCGGTCTATAAGGGGGGTATAAGGTTGTTACCTATAAAATGGCAGCTTAATGGGTGTCCACTCTCACCCACCGCTTCCTTGACTGGTGGAGGGTCGTTAGCCGAACGGGTAGGACAATGACTTAAAATTCTCATTAAAAGTATAATGATTATTATAAAGTAACTAAATGTTTTATAAATTCCCAATCTTAGTTACTTTAGGAAAATGTGAATAAGGTGCTAACCCAGGAAATTACACTTTGCACTTTGATTAAGTCGTTAGTGGAGCTGTGTGGTTAACCGGCACACTAACTTGGACTTAACAAGGTAGGCAAAGGGTGACTTAAGGTTTTTCATAGGTCGGTGGAGCACGTGTGGTTAACCGGCACATCGATTAAGTGAAAAACATTAAGGGTACCAAGTAATTTGCATGGTTACTTCACACCTTGTTTTGTGATCCTCGGTATCCCAGTCACAAAACATGAAGGGCACACTCGAGATTGAAACATGCCATTGAAAAGTTCAATGAATCTCAAAAGAATCTAGGAGTTTCTGAAAAACCAAATAAAACCTAATAATTTATATATTTCGTTTTCATGGTGGAAATTGGTGAATCGTCATTCACCTACCTTTCAAATATGTTATAGCTTGGATTACGACATCCCTCTTCTAAGTTATAATATATTGTGATTGGATCCTAGCCTTAATATTACATTTGGGTGTTTTATTAAGGACTATCTTTATATCTAAACTAAACTTGTCTTTTCTTCTTTTCAGATGTCTTCCAGCAATGCTGCTTCTGGCTCAAACCCTACCGGCTGCTTCTCTCTCATGAACCTTTGTGGGAGAGTCATCTTTGATGGATCCAACTTTACAGATTGGATCAGGAACATCAGGATGGTCACTCGTTATGAGAACAAATAATATGTTCTCGACAAGGAGCTTAAGGTACCCGAGCCGACTGCTACTCCTGAGGAGTTTGCTGAATATGAGGCACATGAAAGAGATGCTACCAAAGTGGCATGCATCATGATGGCCACTATGACAGCTGAGCTCCAAAAGTCCTATGAGGACTACTATCCTTTTGAGATGCACCAGGATTTGATGGACCGCTACCATTAGAGTGCTCGTCAAGAGCGATATGAAATCATCTCCTCCATGATAACAACCCGAATGAAAGATGGTGAACCCATCACGGGCCACATGCAAAAAATACAAAGGTATGTGGACCGTTTGATGAAGCTGAATGTGAACTTCCCAGAGGAGTTAGCAATAGATATCATTTTGCACTCCTTACCATCGTGTTATGATCAATTCCGCATGACATACCACATGAATAAGGAAGAAGTCACTCTCAGCAAACTTCAAGGACTCTTGAAGACCGCCGAAAGTGGTCTTAAAGGTAAGTCGGTTGTTACCACTCCTACTCCTACTCCAAACTCTGCACCTGTCCTGGAAATCGGGAAAGGTAGAGGGAAGAAGAGGAAGAACCCTTCGAAGGGTACCAAGGGTAAGACCCTTGATGGCTCCTCTTCAAGCGGAACCAAGAAAGGTTTCGTCA